ATTGATTTAATTTTTCATCTCAGCTTAAGATATCTTGGGCTGTGGCAATGAAGCTGATAGTTTTGAACTATCCATGAAGAGTTTCCCTCCTCAAAGTGCAAGACAGAGGTGTGCTTTTCTGATGCCTTCCGTTGCCAATGGGAGAACGTTCTAACCTATGCTATCATAATGGGTATGTGCCCTATAGTCATATAGGGTATTTGCTTTATGTTGCAAGCTGTGGCTCTACCTCTAATGGATCCAGGCTTTCTGGGTTGCCTTAAAACCTAACCCATTACAACCAAAAGGCAAATAGCCCAAGTCAGCCATAGTTTCACCTTAATCTATCCAGTCTTTTTATTTTTGGCACTTGAGAATTTTTCCCCTGCCTCCAGAAGGGTTCCATTGTACATTCAAAAAGTATTTTTATAGTAATCTCTTATTTCCGCAACTTAAATTGTAAATATCTCATATTTTAACCAACAAAAACTACTTGTGTGTAATAAGCCAGTGTTAGGAAAGTTTTGGTATGAATACTTATTCATTTCTTTCTACATTTATTATTATTATTTTATTTTTTACAGTTTATTCATTTTATATCCTAATTATAGCCCCCTCCCTCAATTCCTCTGGTCCCACTCTCCTGCCTGCTTCCCCCCATCTCCCTCCCCTAGTCCACTGATAAGGGAAGTCCTCCTCCCCCACCCCTAGCTTACAGGTCTCATCAGGATCGCCTGCATCCTCTTCCTCTGTGGCCTGGCAAAGCCAAAGCACCAGGGGGAAGTGATCAAAGGGCCAGGCAAGATTTCTAATCTAGTTAATCCTTTTGCTGTGGTCAGAGCCGTCAGATTTTTTCTCTCAGTTATTGGTATTGTATTTTGGGTGGAAGTAATCAGTAGGTAATGTGAGGTAATTTTCATTTCATTAAAGTGATACTTGTAGCTCACATACGACTAGAACAATGACTGCACTGCCAAGTCTCCCTTGCTGGATTTTCTGGCCTCTCAGAGAGGCCCAGGACGTGCATCTCTCAAGTAATCTTCAGAAGCACTGCCCGGTGAGCCTGGCAGATCAGCCCTGAGACTCAAAATTCCCGCCATCTTCGCTAAGAATGAAAGTACAATGCTTTATTCCTATTGACCAAGTCGACGCAGCTTCTCCTGATTAATCTAAACTAATGATGGCTGTAATGTACTGATTTTCAACAAAGCACATTCTCCTTAATAAAGAATTGGAGGAGTTTCAGAAAGCAGGCCATTTCACACAAAGCCAGCAACTCTGCATGCCCCGTTCATTCATCCACCCACCAGAGAGGGATTTTGTTTTTGGAAACTTTTCAATTCTCTGCATGATGGAGGAACCAGGAATCCATGAGCATACTGTCCTTGATTCTTGGCTTCTGGAAACTAGAGGGGACAGTGTTCCACACATACACACATAGCTCTGAACTGGAGATATAACTGCAGACAGAAAAGAACGGCATGGGGGTTTTGTTTCTCAAGCCGTGGTCTTGCTGTATAGCTCGGGTTGGGTTGAACTCTCTGTACGGCCCAGACTCATATCCACCACATGTTCCTCCTACCTCGCCACATAGGTGCTGGAATTACAGGTGCGCATCCCCATGCCTGGTTCCACAAGTAATCTTTATATTAAAGCAGATCCAAAGCCTTTACTACTGCATACAGAGCACTTGACAAAGTTTGTTTTGACAAGGTAGAAGGTCCAGATAAAGAAAATGACATGAAGATGCCAGCAGCACTCCAGTGACTGCCCTGGTTACTGCCTTCCTCTCTCACAGTGTACCTGAAAACCACACGCACACGCACGCGAGCGCACGCATGCACCTACGCACGCACATGCCCACACATGCACACTCATGCACACATCAGAACTAGAATGGAAAGCAGATTCGAGGACAGGAAGTGGATCCATTTGGGGAAATGTGTAAGTAGACAGCCTTCCATAGGGGCCTCGCTGTAGAGGACAGCGCTAGAATCTCCAGCTCCCTGTTATCTGTCGAAGATAGCTCCTTGGCCTGCTCTCCCAGGATGGTCCTGTCACGACCATCCTCTTCATGGTGGCTGTGGGTGGACAGCAAGGACTGTAGAATGGAAGGTGGCTCTTCTGTTAGCATGCCGAGATAGCTCAGACTTGAAGTACTGTAACTGTTGAAGGGACAGACTTGAATTGAGCTTGGTTTCTACATGCTGTGAATTTTGGAATGATCTCAGTTGCGGGGCGATGCAGTACAGCAGGGGACAGTGGTCAGGGCTGAGGAGGGTCTCCGCAGGTTTAGTGTGGATCCTTAGGCTGTCAGGCCCGAGGCACCGAGACCCTTGGTAGCTCTTAGTGTGGCCAGGGGGACATGATGCTTTGTATTGTCTAGAGTGGTAGGGGTCTGAGAGCCTTGCTAATTTTCCTGTCTTCTGGATCTCATGCTCACTGGTTGGTTTGACCACTGATGGGATAAAAGTACTAAGTAACCAGGAGAAAGGAGTCGTAAGTATAAAAATAACTAGTGTAAAAATCTAAGTGCAAGAGGCAGGAGGAGTCTTTTCTGGTGGCCACAAGTTACATTTTTTATATAAATATATTGGCATAAAGAATGATTTCTGGGTATATTCCATTTGTCCTTTGTTTCCTCCCCCATATGATTATATGATTATTGATGTCATTAAGAGAGTGTTCATCAGGCCTGGCTGGCAGGCACTTGCATTTATTTTGTACCCACAAGCAGTTTTGAGGTAAATCTCTCACTTTAGGGCATTAGCTGATCAATACAGACATCTATAGTGAAGGATTGCTTTTCCACCCATTCATGTGATTTTGTTGTCTTGATCTTCCTATAGAGAAGCCACTCAGGATGAGATGGGGACAAGAATTGGGTACTGTTCAAATCAACACTTGCTTGAGACCCTTAGATGTACCATCCTATCAAATTCTTCTGCTTGCAGATATATCTTCCCGAACCTTCAAACCAGGTCCAAACTGAATTGCTTGTCCCCTGCAGCTTGTATGCAGAGGAGACCCCGAGCTCTAGCCTGCCACCCTGGTGATTTTCTTCTCTTCTGTGTCAGGGTCTCTGGTGCTTGCGTCCTGCCCAGCTTTGGCTTGTCTTATCATCTAGGCATCACATGTTGAAACTATTTGTATTGTTGATCCATATAGTTTGACCAAGCTATAGATTTTTTATTAGAACTTATTTTTTCTTCAGAATTTCAAAGGCATTGGTCCCTTCTAATATGTCATGTTGCTGTGGATAAAGTTTGTTGTTATTTTTAATGAGACACAATCTCGCTCTGCAAGGCCGGAACTTGCTCTGTACCCCTGGCTTATCTTGAACACACTTGCTCTGCTTCCTTCACCTTCCTGAGTTCTAGAAATACAAGTATGCACTACCATGTGTGGCTTGCGAAGTTTTGTGTTAATTCCATTGTATGTTATTTGTTTTCTTCTCTCTGGAAATCCCTGTCATCCTTTCTTTGTTCTTGGTATTCTGAAACCTCACCAGGATGCAACTTGAGAGTCAGTGGGCAGAGAACCGCGCCAACCTCCACACGGCACCCTGGCACCTTTCCTAAGTCATACTGAGTTACTTACGTTTTTTAAAGCCTTCTCTCCGCCCCCCCCCCCCCGTGCTCTTAACCACTGAGTCATGCCTCCAGTCGTAAAAACAAATGTGTGATAATAGAGGTTTATTAGTGTAGTTTATCTAAACTATTAATTTTGTTCAAATTCTATACAATAATTAAAATTTGAACAGCATGCAATAGTTAAAACAAAAACCAAAATAAACCCTTTTCTTTATCCTTTTGAATTTCTTTCTGAATGTGTGTTTTCCCCCAGCCCTCAAGACAGTGTTTCTCTGTGTAGCCTTGGCTGTCCTGGACTCGCTTTGTAGACTAGGCTGGTCTCAAACTCACAGAGATCCACCTGTCTCTTGTGTCTCCCCAAGTGCTGGAATTATAGACATGGGCCACCATGCCTGGCTTAAATGACTTTTTTTTTTTTTTTTTTTTTTTTTTTTTTTTTTTTTTAGTAGCAGTCTATTCTTGTTTCATAGATACAATGTTTCTTCTATTTTCTGAGAAGAGTGATTTAAAAGAAAAGTTTTCTTAAGGTTTGTTTACTATCTACTTGTTTTCAGCTGTCTTGTGTTAGAAGCCTTCCATAGAAGCAGTCTCTGTTGCCTGCTCATGTTTACATACACACTAAAAACGCAGGAGGAAGCTCTGTACCTATGGAGAGGGTTCATCCATGTGGCTCCGTGTGTAGGGGCCTGCCAGGGCTATTATGCTGGAAAACTCTCAGCAGCCTTATGGAAGCAGGGATGAGTGCTTCATGAGGCCATGTTGGCAGGGGACACTTAGGAAGGAGAACACTGGTTCTGAGTTCACCAGTGCAGTGGGGCGAGGTGGCTCTTCACCCCAGCATGGATGAGCTTCGGGAAGTTAATAGACTTCCAGGAATGCCCAAGGCCAAGGCCAGCAATTCACAGTAAAATCACAGTGAAACTTTCATATGCTTAGTTGTTGTGAGTTGACCTAGGCCCATGCTCACTAAAAGTGCCTCCTTTACATGAGGAATCTTGAAGGTGCTGTCTCTTTCTCTCCCTTTCCTTCTCCTTTTCACCAATTTTTCACATCTTTAGAAAACATTCCTTAAACAACATGAAGTAACTGCAGTACTACTCAGTTATAGATTTAAAAGTGACAGTTAAGATACAGGCTTGCTTCTTGTAATAACTGCACTTAGAATACAGTGACTGAGGCCAGTGAGAAGGCTCGGTGAGTAAAAGCAGCTGCCTCCAAGCCTGGTGACCTGAGTTCAATCCCTGGGACCCATATGATGGAAAGAGAGAACCAACTTCCAAAACCTGCCCTCTGACCTCCACCCATGTGCTACACACACACACACACACACACACACATAAATAAATAAATAAATAAAGTAAGGAAGTAAGGGATCTGTCTGTATGTCTGCTCACTGCTCCATCCATTTCCTGTCTTCTTGTGTTACAGGGAGCTGGACTGTGCCATGTTACGGCGCCTGGAGAAGAGGATTCTGGTTGATCTCCCTAGCCAAGAGGCTAGGCAGGCCATGATCCACCACTGGCTGCCCCCTCTGAGCAACAACCATGCCCTGGAGCTACACACAGACCTGGAGTATAGCGTACTGAGCCAGGTGGGCAGCCATAGAGATAGGTATGGGGCATGTGTCCAGCACACACCAGTCTATGGCTTAGAAAAGATCCAGGCTGCCCAGCCGTGCAGTGAAACCCCTCCCCGCGAAAGAGTGGGCTCCAGGAGACTGGGCTACAGTCTCCTGGAAAATGAGGCCACAGGGAGTAGCACAGGGTCCAGATGCAGAGTGCCTACAATCAGATCCTGGCCCTGCAGCATATTAGCTGTGAGACCTTAGGGGCGTCACTTACTCTGTGAGCCTCAATCACCCCATTTCTAAAATGAGTAGCAGAGAATTGACAGAGGGTTATCGTGGCTAATGAATTGAGGAATCCTTTGCAAAGAAAAACTCAAGGTACTTGCTGTTAATCCTCATTGGTATTGTATTAATCAGGGTTCTCTAGAGGAATAGAACTTATAAAATGAATACATGTGTTCAATATATGTATACACACACACACACACACACACACACACACACACACACACAGTATTTATTAGAGTGGTTTACAGGCTGTGGTTCAGCAATTCCAAAAGTGTCTACCAAAGTAAGATCCAAGAGTCCAGTAGTTGTTCAGTCCACGATGTCCTAGTTGGTCTTCAGTATACTGTAGAATGCCAAAGAGGTAGTTGAATGGCTCTCTAATGCTAGTAAGGGGGTGGACTTGCCAGTGAGAGTGAGAGCAAGCAGGCAGAAAGAGCAAGCTTCCTTCTCCCACGTGCTTTCTGTAGGCTGCCAGCAGAAGGTATGCTCAGATTAAAGGTGGATCTTCCCACCTCAAAGATCTGGATTAAAAGTGGGTTTTCCAATTTTAAATGATTTAATTAAGAAAACATCCCTCACAAATATCCAGATTCTTGGGTTTTAGTTAATTCTGATATAGTCAAGTTGATGACTAAGAATAGCCATCACAGGTATCCATTCCCAGGAGATCTTCTTTGGGTAGACATTTAAACCTAATGGTTTCTCTAGTCCCTCAAAATCAGGACTGGCTTTAACACAAGAACAAAATGTCCTCATTTGGCCATCTTGGAGTTAGGATGAGGCCCAATCAGGCAACACTAGGTGGTTCAGTGCTCTGCTGGCATCTCACAGCGTATTTAATGGTCTGAGGAAGTCATTGCCTAGGAGGCCAGGTCAGGGGTCGTGTTAGCTAGCACCTTCTCTCCCTCCAGCATTGCTTGCCTGGGGTGTTGGTATAGAGAAGAGAGACGGCAGAGTTCTCAGCCAGCACTCCGAGCCTGGATCCTGCTTGTAAGAATGAAGAGGACACCAGCATTCTGCCTGTTGACTGATCCTGGCTTTGCTGCTATTTCAGGAGACAGAGGGATACTCAGGCTCCGACATTAAGCTGGTCTGCAGGGAGGCAGCCATGCGGCCTGTGAGAAAGATCTTCAGTGTGCTTGAAAACTACCAGTCAGGTATGGTTGGGCCACTGTGCTGGTGCTGTGGGAGAGAAATTTGTGCTCATCCATCCAAACTCTTGGAGGGATGTGGTGGTACATACTTGAACTCCTGGTCACTCAAGCTAACAAGACCCTGTCTCAACATACATATACTAAAATGGGCTCAAGATGTAATTGGGGACAGTGTTTTTGTGTGCAAAAGTCCAATCCCCTCTCACCAGCAGATGGAGCCCAACACCTGCTTCCCCCCCATTTGTATGCTTCTCTGGTCAAATTAACATCCCCCATGTACTCTGGCACACACTACTGTGGGTCTGGATCCTTCTGAGGCACCATACTAATAGTAAATAATACTTGGCTAACGATATATTTCATTCCCCTTTGGAGGCAGGATGGTGGGGTTGGGTGGGGCTTAAATCCCATAGCCTCTAGCCCCATAGCCCTCCTCAGATGTTTGAGCTGTGTTAGCCATCAAGAGCAGGTTATCAGACCCTGTCTCCAGGCCCGCCTATCAGCCTTGCAAGAACTCTGGTCCCCACCAGGCACAGTGCCATGCTCACTGCTGCCTTTTGGTCTAGACAGCAGCAGTCTGAATGGAATCATGCTGGATACCGTGACTACAAAGGACTTTCTGGATGTGTTAGCTCACACCAAGCCTTCAGCAAAAAATCTGACTGAGAGGTACTTGGCCTGGCAAGAGAAGTTTGAGTCTGTGTAAAGTTGCACCCAGCCTGACCTGGCCAGAGGCAGCCAAGAGCCTCCCTGGTGTGACTGGGATGGAAAGAAGGACATTATCCTTGAACACTGGACTAATTTATACAACTGTGTTATTTTGAAAACATGAGATCTTGTGCCATGGATGTCAGCAAAGTGAAGATTTCAGTTATAAGTGTGTGCTATTGGGTCAGGCAATAGAGTTTTTTTTCTCAGAATTTGACTAAAAATTTTAAGAAGTTTCCCGTGGTTTTCCTTATTTGTGAACTGAGAGCTTAGTATTTTCTTAATCTCTATTATATTTTGAGCTTGTAGATTCTTTTTTTAAAGAATCTTTTTAAAAATTTATTTACTTTACATCCTGATTGTAGCCCCTCCCTCCATCTTCCCCCATCCCTGTCCCCCATCCCTAGTCCTTACAAATTGGGAGCCCTTCTTCCTTACCAGCTGACCCTAGACTATCAAGTCTCTTCAGGACTGCCTACATCCTCTTCCTCTGTGGGCTAGCAAGGCCTCCTCACCAGGGGAAGTGATCAAAGAGCAGGCAACAGAGTTCATGTCAGAGACAGCTCCTGGTCCCCTTACTAGGTGACCCACATGAAGACTAAGCTGCCTATCTAATATATTTAAGCATTTATTCTTAATTTCCTTCTTGTAACACATTCTCAAGCCTGTCAGACACCATCAGTCAGTGCCCCTTCCTTTCTTCCAGGACAGGCTTTCATTGTATAATGCCTGCTAGCCTGGAACTCACTTTGTAGATCAGGCTGACCTTGTCTTCACAGTGATCCACCTGCCTCTGCCTCCCAAGTGCTGGGATTACAGGCGTGCAGTATGCTTTTCTAAAGGGCTGAACACCTCATGTAACTCTCCGTTCTCTTCTTTCCCTCTGCCCCAGGGGACGGGGACTACCACCCTCTCCTTTCAGTCCTCTTTACCCTAGCTGACCATGACCACTGTCATCAAGGCCTTAAGTTCTGCTTTCGCAGAGAATAAAGGAAAACCTCTGTTCTGTCTTGGTTACTCAGGGCTTCTGGATTCCAACTAGTTTGCTATCTAATTTTCAACTACTTGGCTTTCAGTCAAGATTCCAGTCTTCAAGAGTATACTTTAGTATTCTTTAGTATACTCTAAAGAATAGAGTATGCATGTAGCATTTTCTGGTTTGGTTTTGGTTTCGGTGCTCAGTTTTATTATTCTCCATCTACTTTGCATCTTCCAGTGTTATATTCTCATATGCATCCTCCTACTGGCTGATTTTGTGGGTTTATATCTTCTCCATTCCCTTCCTTATTTTAGTGGGGGCTTGAGAAAGGAATTACACAAATTTACTCTAGAGTATCTACATTTGTTCTTCATGTTTCTATGTGTGTATGTCACATGTGGACAGATGCTTTGGAGACCAGAAGAGCATGTCAGCTCCTCTGGATCACCTGTAGCTGGAGTTAGCCTAGCATGAGTGCTGTGTACTGGACTCAAATCCTCTAAAATAATACAAGTGCTCTTAGCCACCAAACCATCTCTCCTGCACCCTATTTATTATTTTTAATTAAATTTATTCTTTGACAGTTTCATATGCGTGTATAATGTATTCTAATTACTCTCACCCCTCCCCTTTCTTCCCTCCCTCCCACTCCCATCCCATCTCCTCCCTCTCCTGTGATAATGTCTTTGTGAATGGGTCTAGCCACAGGAAGGTCATAGGTGTAGAACTGTCCATTGGAACTGATGGGGTCATTAGTGGGCAAACAGCTGAACATAATGACCCCTCCTTCCTCAGCATCCACCAGTAAGCTGGTAAGCCATAGTTCCCTGGAGAAGGGTAGGAATTCATGCCCCTCCCCAATCCATCCCTGACTACTGACAGTAGTCTTATCATGCTCAACTGCAACTACTGTGAAGTCACGATTGTGAAACTATGCCATTCTTATCACAGTGTTTTGCAGCCTTGTCATTCAGCTCTTAGATTTTTTTTTCTGTTCCCTCTTCTGAGCTGTTCTTTGAACTATAGAGGAGGTCTATAGTTGTTGTTGTGTTGTTGTTATTATTATTATTATTATTATTATTATTATTATAGTTAGGTTAAGGGTTGAGACAATAGCTCTGTTGGCTTCCTTTACAAATATAAGGACCTGCGTTTGATCCCCAACATAAAAATGCCAGGTCTAGTGTTGCATGCTTATTAACCCCGATGCTGGAGAGGTAGCAGGGACAGGAGGAAACCCCCGGCTTACTGGTTAGGCAGGCTAGCCTAATTGGTGAGCTCCAGGCCAATGAGATCCTATCTCAAAAGAGGCTGATGGTGTCTCTGAGGGTGACCCTTCAGGTTGTCCTCTCCTCTCTAGAACACATGTGCACTTGCGCACACATGCACTTTAAAAGATATAGAGTTGTATGAGACATTGACTTCTTAGAATAAGAAGTTGGAATAAATAAAATTTAACCCAACATGTGGGGAATTTTGTTGTTTTGCTTTAAATCAGAGTTCACAACTCAAATTCCTATGGTAGCACGGAGATTGATACCACATGAATAAAGTGTGCTAGGTACAGTCCAAGGCAGAGGTGGGGAAGGAGATGAACTGGTGAGGGCCAGCAGCTGTCTGAAGGACACAGTTATGACTCAGCCCAGTTGAGCATGGAAATTTAGGTCTAATGTTGCCAGATCTCCTAATCTTCCTAGAAACAGCAGCAACTGACTTACATCTAAACATCATTCTCAAATGCTGGCAATTAGTGTTTGTCACCCTTTGCTCCTGTATCATTTGCATCCTTTTTTTTTTTTCTTCTTCTATCCATTGGGTCACGCTTACCTCCAGTAAACCCAACCTTATTCCCAATGGTTGTCTTCTTCACCACTTACCAGTCACTCGTACTGTTAGGCAGTTGTGTTTGAATCCCTGCTTGTCCTCCTCAGATGTAAGCTTCATGTTTTAAGGTTCCTTCTTTTTCCATCATCACTATTGAATGAATGTTCTTTAAAACAGCATAGGCCAATGGCTACCTGAGCTCCAGAATACAGTTATGAATAGTGTTCTCAAGCATTCAGCTTACTGCATGCCATATAGAAAATCTATGATAGCTTTGAACTTGTCAGACCCTGTGTATTGCTGGGTTTGTTTTTGTATCCCTCAATGCCCTGACTAGAGACAAACCTTAGGAGACAGAGCTGTGCCTGCTGTCTTCCTTATGCCTTAGCAACAGTAAGCATTTAATAAATACAAAGTTTTCAGGCATATATGGAAAAGGAACTTTTATTTGCCTGTTTTAATTGTCTCAGAGGATTGCTGACTCTGTCTGCTAACCTAGGCCTAATCCTGGAAGTTTCTAGCCTCCATACAGTCTAACCTAGGCCTAGAATGTTTTCAAGCCTCCAGACTTACTGCTTAATAAGCTTTTCCTAGTTCTTTCTGAGCTCAGAGCTGGCTGGTTCAACTCAGCTCTTCTAAAAGACAGGCAGTCATCCTCTGAGACTACAATTGAAACAGACAAATAAAAGTTCCTTTTACACACATGAGCCATGCAAACTTCTAATGTATGACATGAAAGTAGACACTAGAAAATACACAAAGTTGTTAATGACTGATGCAGTGTATATGATTTTTGATCTGGTGTCTCACTGCTGCCTCTTAAAGACAGAAATGTTCTTCCGGCTAGTATGTCTTCATGCCTGCTATCATAAAAAGCCAGCAAACCCCTCATGAATTTGTGTGGAAAAGGGCATTGTGACTAACGACAAAGAAACATGATAATGTCAACATGGCTCCACGCAAATGACTGTAATATGAAAAAGGGATTCATTCTCCCACTCAGGGTGGAATGTTTTGGTCAAATAGATTAATGCAGTTTTAAAAAATTTTTATCGCAGGTGCCTAAGGACTTGAATTTCATGTTACTAGAACCCCTGATCCAAAGCTAACTGAACATAATAAATACAGGGGAGTTTCCACCTTCCCTGCTCTACAGGACAGTGGAGTTTTAAAGTGTGGGATTAAGGGTGAAATGGCAGTGCTATCATTCCAAGGTAGTATCTGACACCACACCTGGGGCAGCATTTGTGGAGCCATCACAGTGGGATGTACTGTTGCTATGCCTTGTCATGATAGGTTCTGACAGATGTGGTGTGGCAGGCAGGTAGAGCTGCACCCAGTCTGTAGCTGTGCGCGGTGTCAGAGCGATAGAAACCCATCTGGCCTCCCCTCCAGAACACAGTGTGTTCACTGCTCATGATCCCCGTCGTTTCCTATCATGCCCACTGGCCTTGCTACTCCCAAAGTATCATTTAGTCCCTTTTCTGACCCAGGAGAAGATAACTGTGAAACCAACATGATAACAATCTTTCCTATCACAACATACCCCTTTAATTATGGGATGGCCTGTATGATGGTTAGTGCCGTCCTGTAAGAATCACTCTGGGCGGTCTATGGCAGAATTACCTTGATTTTATTGAGGTGCTAAGAACTGTGTGCTTGGGCTGGCACCATTTCCTGGTTGAGATCCTGGACTGCATAAATGGAGCAAGACCCTGAGCAATACGGTGCATTCTTCTGAATGGGGCTGTTTCATGCTCCTGCTGCCTTGAATTCTCTGCCACAAAGGACTTGTACTGTGAACTATAAGCTAAAATAAACTTCTCCCTCAAGTTTCTTTTATTGAGTCATTTTGTCACAGCAACAAAGGCATGAAACTAGGGCAGCTGGAAAAGAAAGCCCCTTAGACATTGAGTTACATTTCCTCCAGGAGGCTGAGAGGACCAGTCAGCTGAGGCGCTTGCTGCAGTGTTTTGAGCAAGTCACAGATTAGCTACTGAGTTATCCTCCTGAACCTCTCTGTGGACAGGCTGGTTAACAAGCCCTGATGTGGGTTAAAGAAATACCTCAAACTAGGATTCCTACCGTTCTCAGGGACACGGGAACAAGCTGCTTCTCCAGGCTGAATTCCTGGGTGAGGCCTCCCCTCCTGTGGCCATGATACGCCTGTCCCTTCCTGAGCTGCCTGTGCTTTAGCTCCGTCCTGTTTCCAGAGCATCAGCTCCTCTGTTTTCTAGTATCTAATGAGCTTTCCCTTAGACATCGGTGACTGGCGCTGAAATTGAAATGTTTCCTCTCCATCCACACTTATGCCTCCAAGGATTAAATTCCTCTGATATTTAGTTCACTTCCATTGGTTCAGTTGCCTGTGTGGTAGCAGACATAAAAGAATGAGATTCAGTCTTGCTCAAGTGCCACTGGGGCATGAAGCCA